ACCTGTGAGGTTCAATATGTGTCTATCCTCATTCAACGCGTCTATGTGTCCGGCACTCCAACATCACTCAACCCGTGGGGTTCCAGCAGCTATCCCCACGCAACCCGTCTATGTGTCTGGCAATCTCAAACCTCCCCTTTCCGTGGGGTTTCAGTATACAGCTATAATCACTCAACACGTCTATGTGTCCGGCAATCTCCTACATCACTCAACCTGTGAGGTTTTCGTAAGCAATCCTCACTCCACGCATCCATGCGTCACGCGTCTTTGGTAGCGCATACTATGGGGGCTATATTTGGGGTGGCGTGTTTTACAGCGCTTTGCCAACAGCGCCAACCCACTGAAGTCTAGATTGCACCGGGGGGGAGGGGAGTGAAAAAAGTGGAAATAAGGGAAAGCCCGGCGCACGGCTTGCATGAGAGAACCGGCCACATTTCGCTGGCATAACGTCCAGCTTACGGCCCAGCGCTGGTGATATTGTTCTGAGCATTGTGTCGAACATATATTCATGTGTTGCATCGGAAGTGCCATTCCATCCGACAACAACAACCTCGCGGGCCCGGCCGGCTGCAGGATCCTCCTCGAATGGCAGACCCCCCGCCACCGCTGCCATTGCCCGCCCCCGCTCACCTCGGGCACGCCTTCCTTGTTTGTCAGGCCGGCTGAACCGCCGTAGATCTCGGCCACCACGCTCATCCTCTGCAGCTGCGAGCTGAACGCGTACCGCCTCCACACCGCGACGGAAATCCCGTCTCCAGACGCCTTCTCTACCCCTCTCTCGTCGGAGCCTGAGTTTCCGCTTCCGCCCCTAGCCTTCGTTTTTCTCCTGCCGCCCTTCTTCTCGGCCTTGGCGCCAGGCTTTCCCTCGGGCTTTCTCCTGTGGCCGCCCGTAGACTTGTCACGGTCGTCTTCGTCATCAGCGCAGCCGCCCTTGCCGCCGCCGCCGTCGCTCCTCTGAGAGACGGCGGTTTCGCCATCGTCGGGGCGGGCGGTGTGGGATAATGCATCCCACTTCCAGCGTATCCCCTCCAACGCCGATGCCTCCAGAGGGTCTCCGTGCAGGACCCCGTCTACGTCCATGAGAGAGTGGCACCCGCCCACCACCGCCTGGATTGCACGCAAAGGCACGCACGCGGCGTGAGCTGAGAACGCACTAGTGGTCGAAGTAAAAGCCCGAACAGCGCCAAGGGAATAAACCGGCCGTATATATCAGGCACCCCACTCTACGGTCGAGAGCATGAGAATGAGACAACTTGGAATGTTCCACTTGTGTCACGCGATTCGACCGGCCGGATACCGGGCCGACCGTTCGTTCATGTCGCGTTGCACTGCCGTAATCATTTCAACCTTCGGTGTGAATGCGAAAAGCAATCTTGAAACAGTACATACTGGCGGTGAGAGTGATCAGGACGGGGCGGTGGGGATGATCGACGATTTCTAACACAAGGGCACGATGGTTTCGAATGGGTCGGCGGGGCACGAAGGGGGGGGGGGGGGGG